TTTAAAGAGTAGTAACAAGCTTTGGGGGCCAATATAAAAACCCAGTACTTTTCTTTGATAATATCTGTGGCCTATAAACATCGTGGTATTAATGAGTCCAGGACCATAAGGTCAAACTCCACATGTATCAACTTATTTCAAAGAGAATAGCTTTTCCATGGCTAGTGGTTGTACCCCTAATTTTGACCAGTAGTCACACAAATGCATGCCTGGGAGTCTCAGGGGTATCAAGCAAAGGAATGCAAAAAGCACAGTTCAAATCCAGTCTGCTTTAAAATAATGCGGAAAGTGGGTGAATGTACACCTGAATGCTCCAAATTGTACATTCTCTTCTTCCATTGGAAAGGTAGTATGCAATAGACTGGGGAAAGGCTTTTGGTGGAAGTTCAGAAGCCTATAGATCCTTGTCACCTCTAACTTAATAAAACACAGCTAAAAAGGAGCCCATTAATTTGTCCTTACAGCTAAGAAAATGAGAAAATGCAAAGATGAGAACCTTCAGGTCATGCTTCCTAACAAAGAAAAATGGCAGTGTGTTTTCATGAGGTATGTACTCTTTGGGGTAGATGATCTGATAGTATTTGGCCATGTCTGAATTTCTGTTTCATCTCTAAGAGGTTGAGGCCCAACTTAAAACAAAGAAGGTGACTCCTTTTTCTCTAAGTGGGTGGTATCTCCTATCTTTGGGAACAAACAGAAACTATCTAAAGAAGATAATGCTCTTTGGTCACTACTTAAATCCAAGATTGTCCTTCCCTGAATAGCACCTTGCTAATTACAACCTAGAATACAAATCTGTTAATGTTAGTAGAAGTCATTTACCTCAACAAAATACCCTTGTTTTATGGACAAGGACATTTCAGCCCAGGAAGTTTAAATGCCTGCCAAAGTCATACAACTAATGAATGGCAGGTCTGGGAGAAGTTTTCTGAACACTATATATCAAAGGAAAGACGCTTGAGTTAATAATAATAACTGAAATCTAGGAAGGTTTATGCAATCAATAACAATGAAAGTTAATTGCAAAGTTTCACTTAAACTCTTTAAAAACAGTATGTTTTAACACATGAAGAATGTCTTTCGTTTATTCAGACCTGTTCTTAATAACTGTGCATTGGAAGCATGTTTTACAAAAGCCATAAATCTGGAATAGCTGAAAGGGTATCCAACTTTCTTTTCTAATTGATTTACTTCTCCTTTTTCCCAGACTGCCCGAGGTATAGCATATACAGTTTATTTAAGGGACTGTTTATAGACTCTTAAAACTAAAAAGGACCCCAGAAACTCTCTTTCTTTTGCTTGCTCTTAATTGAAACCATCCAAGATGGTTGGTTGCCCTTCCATTTTTAAAATATCTTCAAGAAGAAAAATTCCACCAGCTCCTAAACAGCATGCTAAAATGGCTCATCACTGTGGCTGTCAAAAATGACTTCTGTGGCAAGCTTAACTTCTCCCACTTCATTTAAGCTATTGCTGTGTTTTATGTAAAAGGAGGCTATAATGTGCCACCCATGGCGAGGGCTTCTTTAGTCTGCAAAGGTAATAGCCATCTCTGGCTCAGTGTGCTTTACCTCCATGATGCCGCCATTTTCCACCCAGGACCCTGAGAGCAAAAGGCTGATTGACAGGCCCTCTTACTAAGATGTATAGGGAAGGATCAGTAATTAGTTCTTCATCGGCTCTTCCATTTCATAGAATGTCTGGGGGATGTTACATTAATTATAGGTGGACTGATTCACTTAGGCTTGGGATAAATGTTCACAAAACAGGTTAAACTAGAAGGCTGCTTCTACTGTGCTCCTTTGGAACTTGGGCTTGAAGGGGAAAGTGAGCTCATTCATAATACTGGGTCAATTTATACAAAACAAGCATTACCAACATTTTTATTCAGAACAGTTCTAGTAGTATTTTAAAAACTTTTCTTGTTAAAGATTCTGTATTAATGAATAAGAGACAGATGGAGGCAATTTTCTTTTAAATTTCAAACTAAGATCAGAAACTCTCTTCCACCATTAAGAAAAATCCATACTTCTAAAATAGAGGTGAGGAAGCCTAAAATAAAAGGTACAGCCACAATGAAACTTTGAAAGTAAGGGTAAAGAACAATAAATAACAAGTGTCAACCCACAGGGGATAGAAGTATGGAAGAATGCTTTCCTCTAAAAAGTATTTCAAAGACTGTAAATGCTTAGAGTCGACTTCTCCACACACAGTAAATCTCAGGGAATGAAAAGGAAACTCAATAAAATTTGTTGACAACAGTTAATTCCTGTAAAAATAATTGGCTCAGACACAAAACAGACCGTCAATGTAGCCCAGGGATGACCAAAACGCAGCCTCTAAGTCCTTGTTAGGATATATACGTTATACACAATTGGGAGAAAGAAAAGCAGTTTATCAAATAACTGGGTAAACATTTGAGGTAAGAAGTATGGTTCAAAGTACTGGACAACCAAGCCTAAGTTCTGATGGCTCTTAGGACTAAAATTCCAAAGAAATAATTGCATTAGATTCAGACTGAATCAATTGTATTCAGTCCCAACCTTTCAAGAATCAGATATAAGCAACTGCCTTATCAGTGAGGCATTGAACTAGACAATGGGATTCAAGGGTAAATAAACACCGTCTTTTGCAACAAGGAGCCCACTGAGAAGGCATTATTCATGATAAGGTAGAACCAGGTAAATTGATGGCAAAAATGAGACAAAATTCTCAGGAAAGGCATCAAAGATAAAGTCTCTTCTTCCAAGGTTCTTTTTCTCTTATGTCTCCTGATGATATGTATGTGCACATTTTTTGAAATCTTCCCACTAAACTGTGAGTCCCTCAAAGATGAGGCCAATTTATCATTCATTTTCAGGCATTTGATGCATGCTTGGTATAGAATCTGACACACATCTCTTAGACAAAGAAGCTAATGAGAATACTTTTGTGCATAAGGAACTATGTCAGGCAGGTGATTAACCTAAATCAGGAATTCTATAAGGCAGAACATATGAAATATATGCTCTTAATGACAGGATTTATAATACACAATTTATAAAGCCACATTCTAGCCATAATTTAGACACACAGAGTTGCAATAAGTAACTTTCTCTCTTTTAAGTGATTAAAACATAATTTTAAAACATACCCTAAAATATGGTCACTGTGTGACAGAATAAAAGAAAGCTTTCAGACTTGAGGTTGGTTTTTTTCAACATAGTTGCCTTAAGGTGTCTGTGAGAACATACATAAGGATCACAGTTACTTAGGACTAAGCTATGCTTTGCATTTTCATCATCTGATGCAAACATTCATAGGTGAAGAAGGATCTACTTTCCACACGTCCACATAGACATTCCATAGTGAGCATCAGAACCTGGCATGTAACGGAGGGCACTCAGAGACTTGGCAAGTACTTAGTGAACTGGATGAAAGGAAATTGCAAGCATGGATTATCAAGGGAAAAAAAATCCTCTTGGGCATAAAGAGAACTAATTCTTTTCTTAAACAAATACAGATCAGTAGCAGCAAATTATTGAATAATTTCAACCCATTGTTGGGTCGCTCTGTTGTCCGATGTTTACCTTCCATTGGATGTTCTAAAGTTATAACAAGCCTGCCATTGGAAAAGCACCCCCCAGTGAACTTATTCATTTGGCCTTGCAGCAGAAAATTGGATAGAATTGCTTTATTGCCAGAAAAATAAATAAATTCACTCAATTCAAATACTGGTGGAAAGCACTCAATGGGAAATGGCCCAGACAGTAGAAAGCACTTCTGATTCTCTGTCATTTTTTGCCAAAGCCATGGTAAGTACAAGTGTCCCTATCAGCCTCCTTCTTCCCACCTCCTCTACCCAGCTCCAGATTGGAGTGCTACCCACCCCTTCCCCAGTTTTACACACACACACACACACACACACACACACACACACCTGTCTAGAGAAAGGCCGACATTTGGGAAGGAGATGAGAAAGGCTTCAAGCGTGTGAGTCATCACAGGAGCTATTCAAAGCTTAGTGGGTAACTGAGGTAAGCTGTCTACACTTGGAGTGATATCAACCTTTGAGAATGACTCATGCTCCGTTTCCTGGAACTCTCTAAAATTCCAAATAATTATGCAGAGTGAGCATCTGGCTTTAAGTCTTTCCCTGTCTTGTAATATACAGTGAGATAGATGCATTTGGGGTAGATCTTTTAAGTGATCAGTTCCCTTAGGTACCATTGACTTTTGTGTTTATTATTTGCAGACATTGACTCAGCTGTCTACTTTTTAACGACTGTCAACTTTCTAATCGTCTGAGACCTACTTATAAGATAACTGATTCTGCATTCATCAAAGACCCTTTTCCAGATGGAGCTATCATTAGGAAGTACCAGGGAAGAGTTGTGCCAAGAAATTGCCATGACAGAAAAAAAAAATCAAGGTCACTTGGCATAGAGGGCAAACTGGTATGACATTTCAGTTTGCATTTAGAGGAAGCCTCCTGTGTATTTGCAAACCTGTCTTTGAGCAAAGGTCACCTTCTGCCTGTTCACAGTGATTTCATATTGCATGAGACATCTAGGGTATGCCCCTATAGTTCTTTTCCTAAACCCACACGAATGGAGGGTCCTTACTATTTCCCTTCAAGTCACCCAGCACTTTAAATAGTCATACATATCTTTTGTATATTTATATGTGCGCTCACAGGTCTTGAAAACAAGGGCCATTTTTATCCTATTCTCTGGAAGAAATAGAAGAATGACAGTAGACCATAATAGATGAAGGAAGGCTCCATAGGAAATCATTAAAGACAAATTGTTAAGGCAGAAAGTTCCACCCAAACTCTGCAAAAATTGCCAAAACCCCGCTGAAACAGCCTGCTTACTTTAAGGTAAAAGGATCTTGGAGGCCTAGGAAGACTGCCAGCCATGGGCAGTCATTCAGTTATTCACACACTCCCTGTGGTTGTAAATCCACAAAGCCATATACTTCAGACTTTGAGCAACAGAAGGAGAGGGAGAACTACTTACTGAAATAGAAGCCCCTGTCTCCACACACGAACTGAAGCGCGTCCACCAGCTCAGCACCACAGAGCGTCTCTGGTCCAGCTGTGGCCGAGCTGGTGAAGGTGAGCAAGCAGAGGGCCAGGTAGAAGAGGTGTGAAGAAGACATGGTGTGCATCTTTACCTGCCAAAGAAACAGAAGGCGGGTCAGGTTTTTCTCCCTGATCCTTGAAAGGGGAGTGGGGTCCAGGTAGAACACATTGACTCCCATCATTCCACTGCCTTCATTAATCAGAACCACTTTGCCCGGAAGTGCAAAAAAAAAAAAAAAATACGTGATGGACCCCTACAGGTTCCGACATCAGATGACCTGCACTTATTTCCCTTGCTACTAGATTCTTGGAGAAATCCTTCTGAAGCCCTTGTCCATGGATTTCTATTTCAATTAAGATAAGAGATCTGCAAACATTTACTCTGTAGAAGAAGGATGCTATAGTGGGATTCCACACCACTTTGAGATCAGGTAAAACTTTTGCATTATCAAAGGTTAAATTGTGCTCAGTACGGATGTGTGGCCAAATATGTTTTATTAATTTAAATTCTCTGAAAGTTGGCCATCCATGAATTATTAACCAGAATGTGAAATGAACCAGAACATCATTCCTCAGCTACTGATTAAGAAGAATTTACTGTGGCCAAAAAAGGACTTGTAAAAATTCTACATACTGTTATATATTTTTATAGTTTCTTTGAAAGAGAGGGAGAGAGACAGAGGTGGAGGATAATACAGATATTTCTTACCTGGGGAATATCAGCAGTTAACATAATCACAAGTGGAAGAAAAACAATGAACAGAAACAGGAAAAATATAAGGATGTAGAAGTGAGATTGACTCATGCCAAAATCAGGGCAGAAAGGTGTGACCCTTTCCCTCATTCATCCTAAGGATCACAGGTGACATCCCTATAACTCAAGACAGTTCACAAAAGAATGAATTAATTTTGTTGAAGTTTTATGCAACATGGAGGTCACAGAAGCAAGACTCAAAGACTCAGGGAAAACTGTCTTTTATACTTTGGTTAAATGAAGTATGAATCGCTGGGTAGAAATATGTTTGTACAAAAGGTAGGACTTAGTGCTCACAGCCAGAGATGGAGAAACCCAGCAAGGTTTGTCTGTCTTGATTCTACTTTGCCCCCTAAGTGTACCATTCCTGTGTTCTGGATATAGGGACAAGGGTCCTATGAATGTACTGACAGATAAGCTAAGTCACAAAGTTTCTTTTTGGACAGCTCCTCCCCATGGGGGTGGGTGGGGAGGTTAGAACTTTATTTCCAGGTTTGGGGGCTGGTTTGGGGGAAGAGTTTTTCTAGTTTCCATGGTCTGACTTGGGGGAGAATAAAGAACAGGTAAAAGAAGGTCAGAGGAAGGTCAGAGAGACTTTGCTTTTGAGACCTTTCAATTCCCTTTAGTTTACAATACTCAGCGTGCCAAGAACTGTATTCTGGGGTGTTGTTTTCTGAGCCCCAACACTAAGTAAATTCTACTCTCTCTGCATTCTAAAGCCCCTCACCCCAAATCTAATATCAAGGCAACATGGGTGGTGAGTCCATTCCACATACAGGACACGGGCTTAAAATCTGAATAAGTCTTTTTATTTAGTCACCGGAATTCTCTTGGAGGGATTATTGTGTCACTGTATCCATTTTACAGTAAAATCTAAGGAGGGCCCCCTAGTTTCATGACTTTGTCAGTGATAGACAGCTAAATGGCAGCTCTGGAAAAAAGCAGGATTCTTGTGACTCAAGTCTCTGTCCTCATTCTGCAAAGTAGAAAAGGGATAAGGTGACCATTGAGCCACACTTCCCACATTGTTATTTCTGTCACAAATACTTGTGGTTTCTTCCAGAAAGGGTCCCAAAGTGAATAGCTCCACCTGTCCCAGATACCTCTACTGTCAGCTGCACTGGAAGGAGCCACCATAGAGTGTTAAGTGAGGGACCCTTAACCCTTAAAAGGGTTGTGGGGTTATGCTGGAGATATATACATATATATCTTTTTTAGACCTCACAGTAAGGGCAGGTCCATTCAGTTTGGGAGAAATGGACTCAGGTCATTTATTTTCTGACCACCCTCCTTGTCCTCCCTGAACTCTCAACCAGATGGTTCTGCACCAGTGGCAATGTTTGCTCCATCATCCTAATTAAGATTTCCAATTTTGTGGCCAGACCTTCAGCCGGCAAGTGGGGTGGGTGGAGGGTAGTGAGGCAAACCCCTGACTCTTGTTCACATAAGGTAAATATTTAGTTAATGCTTATAAAATAGCTGCAGATGAAAAACATCCTCTATTTTCAAATCATCATGATGAATGGACATGAAATAGAGCAGGAGGTAAAAACCCAACATTTGTTCCCTTTTCTCAGTGTGACCTCTGCAGAGAAACCTTCTGTCCCCACAGAGTTAGAGCCATTTGGGAAGGCTGGAAGCAGATCACCATCCAGTCCTAACTTCAGTAATTCCAATGGCAACCTCAACACATCTAACCTAACTGGACTTCATGGCTCTTTGTAAAAGAACAAACCATAACTGATCTTACAAAATGTATCTCCATGCTCTGGTGATAGGCCAGTTCTAGAAAGTATTATTCTATTAACCTTTCTCTACCTTCCTTTCTTTGTTCAGTTTCTGACACTGTTTGAAGACCAAGCACCTGCAGCTATAAATGCCTTCAAGTTCTTTCAATTTTTTTGGTGAAATTCAGGGGGGAAATGACTCACCTTATATCCTTAGTCAATTTGGCACTTCATTAGATGTCAAAACTGTATTTTTAATTGTTATTTCTGGTATCACACTTCTAAATCCAACAATACACGTAAATCTCTAGCAATCAAAAACTCAAGATTGTTTTAGGGCTGGGGTATAGCTCAGTGGTAGAGCACTTGCTCAGCATCCACTAGGCACTGGGTTCAATCCCCAGCACTGAAATTTAAAAAAAATAATAATAATAGTTTTTTTTAATGTTGTTTTTTTTTTCATTTTTTTCCCCTCCAAGTTGTATTCTCAGATAATATCAGTACTTAATAGTTCTAGGATGAGGTAGAAGAACCTTTAGTGCATTTTCCTTTAGTTCACAAAACAGTCCAGCACAGCACACCCACAGAGAATCAGAAAATTTATCACATTATGTTCCCAAAACAGAAAACAATAATGAACTTGCTGAGGAGTTGAAAGTTTTAAACAAGTGGCCCCATATGTTCATCATTCCCTTGGCCTTTTATTTTGCCAACCGTAAAAGCAACGAATAGAAAGGGAAGCCCATGAGAGAGAGCAAAGAGGGAATAACCCGAAACAGAAGAGAAAAAACCAAAAAATTTTCAAAAATTTCTTACTTGGAAGTCATTCACAACTCCACATTTTCAAAAACCTTTCTTTTTATCTTAAATAAATGGAAGATCAATGGATTCCAGATGTCTGGCCTCCCATGAAAATGCCCAGTAAAATGTGAGGGCCATAGTCATAAGAAAATACTCACTGTAGGTGTGATCGTTTTTTTGTATGTTCCAGGTCTTTTACAGCAGGTCAGGGTGGGTATTATGAGGCTGATGTGAATAGAAAACTGAAGACTTAAAAACATGTGCTGCGGGGTGGGTGGGGTTTGTGAAAGCATCTAGTTACATTTGGACACCCAGGCAGGTATGCTGTGAGCCTGGGTAAACTGCCTTTTGTCCATTCAAACAATGAACAAATCACACAGCTGGGATCCCAGTTAACCTACCCCCCATCAAGCCACCAATCGCCATTGCATGCCTCTTGTAGCTGCCCCAATTGTGACCTGAGCCCCATTCTGCTCCTGCTCCCTTCCTCTTGGCTCTGTCACTGGGAAAGACCTTGAGACTCTTAAGTACCAGCAGCTCCTGAGTTCTGCCTCGGGGCAGGATGCCTTTATTCTCTTAATTACATCTGAAAGACCTCGAAGCTTTCTCTGGCCACTTCCTGCAGCAAGCACATGAAAGGGTTAACAAGGGCTAGCTCCCCTTCTGAAACGTTCAACATGCACAGCAGGAAAAGTTCATTTGGAGACAATTTTCCAAACTTGTAAGTAATGCAGGGATCACATTCCACAGCCTCTTTGATCACCCTTTACGTGGGGACATCAAAAAACCCCCGGCTGCCAGACCACACAGTGTATATGTACACTGACTTCATTTCTTGTAAAAGAAAAACGTGGCCCCGGGTGTGCTGGCATCTCAGGGGACAGCAGAATCAGGTGCCTGACAAGGGTATCTCCTTAACTCCTGAGCCACTTGCTAGACTAAGAAAAGTCCTCCTGGTGGAGCGTTTGAAAGCAGTTAAAAAAAAAAAAAAAAAAAAAAAAACCCGGCTTCACTGAGTAGCTGGACCTTTTATGAATTGAGCCCTCCGGCAATGCAATTGCCTCTGAGGAGCCAGTGACAGCGGCTTGAAAGTGCTTGCAAATTGAAAAACGCAAGTCTTGGAGGATATAATTTTGCTGAGAATGGAAACTTGAATCAGGGCCAGTGATCAGAAAGGAGAAGCCGAGAAGCCGAGAAGCCGGTGCACCCGACTACAGCAGCCAAATTCACCTAAAGAGACTTTACAACCCGAGCATAAAAATCCGAGCTTTACAACACAAAACCCCGGGGTCCAAACTTCACCGGGGAAGTCCTCTTCAAAAGAAAAAAGTCAGACTAGCAGCTGCTAGAAAGTTTCTGCTTTCCATATCCAGTATGCGTTTGTTTAAATTATGTGACTATGAAAGGTAAGCAAGCACTGTCACGGAGTTCTTTTTCCAAAGAGCAAATTAAACTTCACTCTAACTTTGACTCTCTGGGCATAAGTGCAGAGAGTTCCGGGTCTTTAGCTTTAAAGATCATATTTAAAAGCTTTAATATCATCTAAAATATAGCTCTCCGTCTGTGGCATGCCTTATAAAGTCCTGACAAATCTCCCCTTCTCTCCCTCTCTCTCTCTCTCTCCCATACACACGGACACACACACACACACACACAGACACTCACACGGTCTTAAAAATAAAACATCTGCACCTGCAAAAGAAAGAAAAAAATCCCAAAGTTCCTATGGATGCTCTATAGCCCTTAGCCATAGGCAGGATTTAAAGGAATCTTCCAAAATGACACCACCAAAGCCCTGCAGAAGTGGAGGATTTAGCATAAGTACCTTGCAATAGTTTCTACTCATACAGTTATCTGTGCAAATGCATCCGTCTCCCGGAGCTATTTTCTCAGATCCCACAGAATTGCATATTCAGCAATTTATAAATATCTCCCAGTTCCCAAACAATGAAAATTCTAAAGTGAATAACAGTTCTAGGCAGAAGAAAAAAAAAAACGGCACACAATTTAAATAAAATTCCCCCATGACTTCAAAGAGTAAGAAATATTTACCTTCAAGAAATCACAAAAGCAGCACTTAAATAATTGAGTTGGAAGACTGCTGATTTTTCCCATTGCTTCTGAAGTACAAAGTCTGGAAATGAATTGGTGAGCAGGAATAATGAGGCAAAAAGAAATCCAGAGAGATGGGAGATGTTGAGAGCAATGTCACATTTCAATTTTGAGGGACTTTATTTCATCGCGCAGGCTCTATCTGCTCTGAATTTAGCAGTGACAGTGAGATTTAGCAAACAGAAGAGGGATTTAGAGAAAATCCTCACATTTATCTACAAAACACAGACACTGAGACAGGAAACAGCTGGGGGAACATTTGCCTTCTCTCTCTCTCCCTCTTCTGGCAAAGTTATCGAGTAAGGACTTTTTTGGGCATAGTGACAAATAACATCATACCTTTGCATTTTAAAACTAGAGCACAGAAGCATTTTTTTTCCCTTAAAAGAATGTGTGTTAGTGACAGGGTTAGCAGACATGAAAATACTTATGCTGCCATAGAAAATAAGAATTTGTTCTCTGATTAACTTTCTACCAGGCATGAAGACACACACGTCTGCTAATACACCTTACCAGAATTAAACAGTGATAGGGGAGCAATTTTATATTTTAAAGCAAATGCTTTTTTTTTTTTTTCAAAGAAAAAGAAGAAAGGAAGAAAAGACCATCTCTAGCAAATCCTACAATTTTAACCCTGCAATGACTGGGGTAAACTTAGGTTGGAAGACGGAGATCGAGTGACCCCTTGTCCTAGTTGCCAAGTGAGGGGAATGAGCTCATATCCTAAAACCTACAGAAGGGGCAGGCAGCTTTGGATTGGCTCCTTTCAGAACGTTGTCTCCATGCTTTTTGTTAGCAAAAGAGGCAAAGACGGTGCTGAGCTGTAAAATCAACTGAAAAATAAAATCTTTTTCTTCACTCTTAGGCTAGGCTGGCTGCCTGTCACCTTCCCCACTCTCCAGGAGGGAGCACCTGAGGGACAAGCTGTTTTCCTGTTGTTTATATTTTCTGCAAAACCTGAACCTCTGCGTGTGTGGGGAGTGTGTGTTGGGGGGGGGGAGAGGGTGCCGTTTTCTTTCTCTAATTGTTGTGTATTCTAAATTTCTAAATAGCACCAGCTGGCTAGCAATACCCTCTCAAGGGTTATGATGTCATTCAAATCCCTCTACTGCGTGAGTGAGTGGCCGGCAGCAGGGTCCAAGCCAGCTGTTTTGCTATTTATAATGTATACTTGCCTTTGCCATGGAGAATCAACTTGTGATATTTTGTCAATACAATTTGTACCTATTTCTCTTTGGCTTCAGGAGGCAGTGATAAGAAAATGGGTTATGAAATAAGGTTGCAAAAGCCCAGATCAGACATGGCACTTCCCCTGGCTCTCTCTCCTGGCACGGTTTCCCAGGAAGGGCAGAAATTAGGTGGACCTTGACTCTCTGTCTCTGTCTGTCTGTCTGTCTGTCTGTCTCTCTCTCTCTCTCTCTCTCTCCTGATTCTCAGGGGCCTTGACCATACCGACCCATCCACTGAAAAGAGAGGTCTGCTAGAAACTGTAGTCTGGTTTTTTACATTGTCCTGTGGCTATGGAGGTGGATGCCCTCAGAGAAAACCTGATTGGTTTTAAAAGGGAATTGGGCTTGGGGAAATCTGCCCTGCGGTTAATACCTCAATGTTTACCTTTCAAAAATAAAAGTGAGCTCCTTGAAGTTCTCCTGTTGCAATGGTACATGATACTCAGCTCATTTTGTGAGCAACTATTACATCCCCAGAGAAACAAAGAGGAATAAGACAGAGAGGCAGACAGAGAGGAAAAATCTCACTGTCATGTGGTGAGTATGTGCTCTTTTAAAACCATGAACACTTCACAGTGAAAGGGAGCAGCAAATTTCTTGGGAAGATAGAGAAGGGAAACTTTTTTTGCAAATCCAGGTTGGGGAAGGAGGGATTGTGCTATGAGAATTTTTTTTTGGGGGGGGGGGTACCAGGTTAGAAAATTTCAGCAGAGAAGATTTGACCTGAAGAACACACAAAGATGCATCCTCAAGAGGTGGCCCTGTAAACATCTGCAGCTGTGTGGTGATCCCTGCTCTTAAAGAATAATCCAAAGCTTCCTTTAACAAGCTCTCCTTGTGCACTTGATTTATGACTTAATTTACCAAACATTTTTCTTTTCTCTCCAGCTTTTGAGGATCATACCCTTCATCCTCCTGTTATGGACTGTGATGATGTAGATTGTATAGGAGCAAAAACCCCTGATCTCACTTCTCTCCCAGGTGAGAAAGAAGCTCCCCACTTTCAATTGTGAGAGTCAGAATTAGGCTGCAGTCTCAGTGCTGTGTTCCTTGCTCCACCGTTGGGCACCTTCACAGGTAAGCCAGCACTTGATTGCCCCCCTCCCCGGTGCTGTTTTGGCATGCTTTAATTGTTCCAAGATGTCCTAGAAGCTCACTAAATTTCTCCAAGTTTGTGACCCCGTCTGATGTGCTTTCTTGGCACACACTCTGCACAGATTACCTTATCCTCAACCATTTCTGTCTGAAAGGCCGCTTTGGGGACAGAATATATACCATTCCACCAGATGCTGCCCTCCTGCAATATCGACACGGGGAACTCTCTTGGTTTTATAACCCCAATTACCCTTAAAGGATAATTGAGTTTTAATTTATGTCCCAGTTTTTATGTCACAATCAAAGAAAACTGAAATTTCAGAGAGTCGTAATTGTCATCAGCTGTGCTTTGGAAACATTCCGATGTGAGCTATCAGTTTCCAATGGGGGAAGCAATTTCCTGAAGTGATTAACGTATATTTCAATTTGAAGAATAGTCTATATTTCTGGGGAGGTTGAGCCAGCAACAGAGCAGGGCAATCATTCCTAGAAAAATGTCCATTTTCTTTGCTAATTCCAGGACTCAATATGAAACGAAGGGGCAATAATGTGCCACATTATTACTTTTTAATGACTGAGTACTGTACCCATTTAGGAAAAAAAAAGAAAAGAAAGAAAGAAAGAAAGAAATGAATGCACCTATTACCCGAGTCCAAGGTGGTAGTAAATCTAATGCCCAGGCAAAGTTCAGGTCAGGAAATCCCACTGGAGAGAAATATCCAGGGTCAGTCTAAAATTACGGAATGATTATGCAGTCTCCTGTCTGGGAAAGAAATCTGACAGATATGGGAACTGTGTGCCAACCAAAATAGCTAACTGCAAGGATGTGCTCATCATGAGAACATCCACTCCTGGAAATTCAGAGATTCACAGTTTCACCTTTTGCATGTGTAATGCCTGTGGGATATAAATAACTCTCCCCTATAGCCTTCTACTTGAGTAGTATATTTGCATAAAAGCTGCAGCTTCAGAAGACTTCTGACACCTTTCTATAAAAAAAAAAAAAGTTGTTCATTTTCAGAAAGGATAGGCTGTCTGAGGGTCACAGAAAGGGGTGACAAGACCTGTCCCTCTTCTTTCTGCTTAAGCCATGTTTCCCAATCTCCCCTTTGTTTCCCGGAGAGGAGCTCATCCTAAAGGTTGTTTCACATCCATGTGGACTTGGGCATATTTACAATTTATTTCCTTATAGTTTTTTGCTGACTCCTAAGAAAAGCTCAGAATAGAGATTTGGAGGTAAAGATTCTTTAACATCCAATAAAGATGGCAAAGAACTTTGGGGGAACTCTTGTCTCTTCTCTTGGATCTTGGTTTGTGGGGAGGGTTGTTCTGGGGGTGTATTCGCCAATGTTTGAGGTGAAGAGTTTGTTGATGCACACAGCAAAACTCAGGGGTAATGCAACATGGTACAAGCCACGTGGAGTCCTGTCAGCTTCAAAAGATCTTCAAAATAACTGGAAGGGTCCAGTTATTCCCCAGAAAGACCTTCTTCAGCTCAAAGGGGTCGCTCTAACTGCTTAAAGGAGCATTTTCCCCACAGCTAGGGAAAACGGGAATAGGGAGGAGAAATCCTCTCACTAAAGAAATCAATGCTTTCTTTTCAACATTAAACTTGGATCTTATTTCTTCTAAATGTCAAAAGGATAAATGCTGGAAACAGAAACAAAATTGTTGTGGTTTTGTGAGCAAAGGAATTCTTCGTAATGGCAGAGGAGGAGTCACTGCATGGGGCTAAGGACGGGTTGGTGGAGTGAGGGAACTGGAGGGCTCACCACACTTGCCCCACGTTGCGTAGAAAGTGGGCAAACAGACACCAATTGCAAACCTCAGGGGTAGAACCCACGCAGCTGCTTTCCTTGGGAATAGAAAAATGTGCGCGCCCTCTAGTGGGCGTCTGGGAAACTGCCATGGCATTCTTCCCTGGATGGGAGGTCTGCAGGGGGTGGTGGTGGGAGGGATGGTCTAAAAGCTCTGGATTCCAATACGCCTCAAACTGTACTTACCTTGAGTTTTATTAAGTCTTTGGAAATCCAGAATATAGATTTAAAACTCACTGTCGTTTAAAAGGGGACGAGTGCTAAGAGTGAAAGGAAGATTATTAACTTTATGAGAGCATGGGTATTTTCATGCCCATATTCCCCAAACCTAACTCAGGTGAGGGCTCCAAACATTTTGCTGAATAAATGGAAGTCTCAAAAATAAATGAGACTAGGGGCTGGGGTTGTGGCTCAGCGGTAGAGTGCTCGGCTCGCATGTGCCAGACCCTGGGTTTCATCTTCAGCACCACATAAAAATAAATAAGTGAAATAAAGGCATTGTGTCCAACTACAACTAAAAATAAACATTAAAAAATAAATAAATGAGACTAAAGATAAATGTTTTTTAAAAAAGGTGTAAACTCTCTGAGAGTAAAACGACCAACGTCCCCATTTTCTAAATAAGAAAAAAATGAGACTGGGGCGCACGGTTGCTAGATAGAAGAATGACTTATTAAACCAAACCAATTCAGGTGCTTGAAAACCAAGCTCGAACCCAGACTCTGTTCCATGCACTTTTTATCATGTTACTTTTCAAAATGTGGATTAGAATGCCTCTGAACAAAGACCAGGGCATTAAAGAATTGCTCACCTTCACACGGTGGTTCCGGTTTTTAATTCTTTTTCTATCCTGTATTGATCAGGGAGAGAGTTTTGGTTTGGGACCAGTTTGGTTTCCGTGCTTCTCTAACACTTGCTCAGCTCCCTTTCTAATTAAAAAAACAAAAGTGGATTTCAAGCCCTAAGTCTTTGCAGGTGGCAATTGCTATCCAGAATTCAATAATCCTGTTTTGTTTTTATGGTATTTCTTTTTAAGAATATACCCTCAATTTAGGGCAAGTGATGCTGTATTTAAAAGAGATATCCTGAAGTTGAGTTTTAAAACTTATGTATCTAAATCCTAAAAACATATATTTAAGA